CTAATAAGCACTTAACACAAACTACAGATAGGGCTGATGGGAATCACTTTTTACGTCATTTTATTAATATTGGGAGTCAAGTCGTTAAATTGTTTAGTATTTGGGTGTGTAAAAATGTCAATAACGGCCGCCTTGCTACTTAAAGGTGGGTAGGTCATTTCGGAGAAACCAGCTCGAGTGCGCTAGAATTTGAAAATACACAACCGGAGAAAATCTGCCACTTCCTTACAGAGCCCCTCCTCCAACACACACGAACGCGCACATGACCAATGAGGGCACAGATGGAAGGCTGACAGGCAGGTAGGCCATCCAGTTACTTTAGCCGGGCCGGCTCAGATGATTGGTCGTGCTTTTTACAGCACTACGGCTTCCACAGATGACGTTTTTTTTAATGGATTTTTTGTCAAAGCACTTCAGATATTCATTGCTATCGGGATGTTAAGAGCATTCCATGGAATATAACAAAAAGTGTATCTCGAGCCGGTTTCTCAAACTTACCTATAACCCATTTTTAAGACTTAAATAAAAGCACAACAATCAATTTATACAAAATAATATATCTTTCAAAGGCCGTGTCTGAGAGTTATTTTGACAGATGAAATTTTTCTTTAAAGACATTTTGAAATATTATCCTGTCAAAACCTTCTTTCACCATTGCGGAGGCTGAGCCAGCAGCTAACGTGGCTAACAGCAATAACAACAGCAACAGTGCTAACAGAGCTAACAGTGTTAACCTGAGGGAAAGATGAATGTCCCCCCTCTTTCATGGTGTTTTAGTGGAGAACCTACCAGAGGCAGTACAGGCTGTAGTTGCCGCAGGAACAGAGGTGTTGGGACCCCCGATGCAGAAGTGTGAAGAGGAGGTGGAGGGCTGCGGTTCCTCCTGAGCTGGTTCACGAGGAGCCTTAGTGAGCATCACAGGCTCCACAGAGAGAGGCATCTCTGAGGGGGGGAGCGGAGCAGGACTGAGGGCCGACTGCTCCACGTCTGGAGTTTAGAAACAGGGTGGGGGTTAGCAGTGAGGAACAACTATATATAATAAGGTGGAATAAAAGAGGAGGGAATAACTTGGTTTCTTACCGTAACTATAATGGGAAATAGCTTCTTCCGTTTTGATTGAGTGGTAAACATAGGCAATGTCTACAGGGGGACAGATCAAGTTAGATTAGATATGTTTTATTGTTACAGCAGCATGTACAAAGGGCATTGCACCTAAAGAATAAACAGTCAATATTTACATTTTAACAATTGAAAGTTAAAGTACACAACATACAAATATCCAAAGCTTTATGCTATATAATAAACAAACCTATTACTACTTATGAAACTATAAATATAGGAGATATAGGTAGAGTGTGAGCACGATATGGTTAGATTGACAAAAACAGTGGAGCCCGGTTCAAAAAGACAAACGATGAAACTGAGACTCATCCATTCATCTAACACATTATTTTCAGGGCTAACAAAGTGAACTACTTACTTTGTTCTGGCTCACTTTTCCTGTACACAAAGTAGATGACATCTCCGTTCTGCAGCATGTGAGTTTGCTTCTTGACCAGTTTGGAAATGTTGATCACCGTGCCGTTAGTGCTGCAGACAAACAGACTTTGGATGATTCAAAAGGGTCGGAAACATTATCAATTCATACATCACTGGAAAAACTCAATATATACTAACATCGTCTTGCTTTTAACAGAGCTGGGAGAAGTACTCAGAACTTTTACTTGAGTTAAAGTAGAAGTACTCAGAACTTTACTTGAGTTAAAGTAGAAGTACTCAGAACTTTACTTGAGTTAAAGTAGAAGTACTCAGAACTTTTACTTGAGTAAAAGTAGAAGTACTCAGATCTTGTACTTGAGTAAAAGTAGAAGTACTCAGAACTTTTACTTGAGTAAAAGTAGAAGTACTCAGATCTTGTACTTGAGTAAAAGTAGAAGTACTCAGATCTTGTACTTGAGTAAAAGTAGAAGTACTCAGATCTTGTACTTGAGTAAAAGTAGAAGTACTCAGATCTTGTACTTGAGTAAAAGTAGAAGTACTCAGATCTTGTACTTGAGTAAAAGTAGAAGTACTCAGATCTTGTACTTGAGTAAAAGTAGAAGTACTCAGATCTTGTTCTTGAGTAAAAGTACTCAGATCTTGTACTTGAGTAAAAGTAGAAGTACTCAGATCTTGTTCTTGAGTAAAAGTAGAAGTACTCAGATCTTGTACTTGAGTAAAAGTAGAAGTACTCAGATCTTGTACTTGAGTAAAAGTAGAAGTACCAGAGTGTAGGAATACTCTGTTACAGTAAAAGTCCTGTATTCAAAATGTTCCTCAAGTAAAAGTAGA